AGTATTAATTTGGCGACTAATTTTTTTTGGTTGCTGAAAATAAGTTTTTCGCGACCAAATTTGTAGTTGGTCGGCAAAAGCATACCACTTTCTGCGACCAACTCTTTTTTTGGTCGCCAAAATATAACCTTCTGCGACCAATAATATTTGGTCGCCAAAAATAATGATCATTCGCGACTAATTAATATTTGGTCGCCAAATGTCATTTTTTTGCGACCAAAATTTTTTTGGTCGGCAAAAGTGGTCGCCAAATATGTAAATTCTTGTAGTGTTCACATTGACAATATGAATATTTACATTGACTTGTTAACATTCACATCGATGGTGTTAACATTCACATTAACGATATGAACATTCACATTGACGGTATGAACATTCATATCACGAAACATTCACACTGTAAATGTGAATATTATTAGGGATATATTGGTAATTATGTCACCCATATGACTTATTGGAATATAAGAAAATAAAATGGATTAAATAGAACATAAGTAGGTGAAAATAAATTTATGAAAAAATGCCCCTTTTGTAAATGAGACATAAAAATATTAGGATTAATTATAAATAAATAAAAAAACTCACAGTTTCAAGTTTTTTTTTTTTTTTACTTTAAATTCTAGTACTTCAATTTTAATAAATTAAATTTTAGAGTTTCATTCGTGTTTCAATATGTATCCATCTATCTCCATGTGTAAGATAACAGGGAATCATTTTGAGATTTAAAGTGAAAAATGTGTAAAATCTCGATTTTTTTTATTTTTTATAATTAAATTTTTTTATTTAAAAAAAATATCAAAATAAAAACAACACCAAATACGATAAAAAAATATATAAATCCCAACGCTTAAACTATAAACTAGACTAATAAGTTGCAAAATAAAAAATAAAAAATTATAAATAAGTCAGATAAGTTGCATCAAATAACACCACAAAGCCATTTTTTAAAAATTTATTTAAGTTATTTTTATCTTAGAAGTTGTAAATTAGGGATGAAATCAAAATTTTATCATTAAAAGAATCAAATTTTGAATAAAAAAATTTCACCATATATTCAAGCATATATATACATATACATAAGGTATGTAAGTTATATATATACACATACAAAAAAATTAAATATTAAGATTAATTACAAAAAAAAAATCTCAAAATTTTATGCATTTTTTACTTTAAACTCTAAAGTGGTTATCCATACCTTACACAAATAGAGATTGACAGAGGGATACATTGAAATGCAGATGGAACTTTAAAATTTAATTTGTTAAAATTGAAATATTGTGATTTAAAATGAACCGTGTGAAATTTTGAGATTTTTTTATAATTAACTCAAAATATTGTTAGGAATGAATTGACAAAAATTTACCAAGAAAGTCAACCTACTTGAATTTAGGAGTAATTTGAGACGTTAAAAGTTAATTTCTTTACCCTTTCATATGTAAAAAATGTATGAAATAATATGATTCAAAATAAATTAAAAAATTTAAAATTAACTTTCACTAGCTTTTCAAATTGTCCCTTCGTAATTAATGGCGGCGAACATGGTTGTGCGTCACTTTCTCTTTTTGGAGGTTTTGCGTCAGATGTTCAACTTCTTGTTAGATTCTTTCTCTGAGGTCACCTTCTCTTTCTTTTTGACTTTCAAATGCTTCATTTAAAAATCTTTTTTTTTTCAATTTTTCTTTTGTTTTCAATAATTTTTTTTTAAAAATTTGTGTCAAAATATTTTATCTTTAAATTTGTCCAATTAAATAACACCTAAAAGTATCAAAAAAATTAAATTAAAAAAAAATAGCAAAAAAATCAATTCAAACCCAATCTAGGATAGATTCTTAAATGAAAAATATTAGAAATTTCAGGATTTATAATTTTTTTTTTTATAAAATGTCTTGTATAGGTGCAGAATCCACACTATCTGAATCTTATGTAAGAATTTAATAAAATTTTGATAAATCTTTTGAGTTCTAGTCTTCTCAAATTCACCAAATGAATATGCTTTTGTACAATATTATCACTCCACTAATTGCCGAAAAAAGGTATTTTTTTTATTTTTATTTTATTCGTTAAGGCAATGGAAGTATTCTTTGAAAATGGTAATCATTCAACATTAATCTTGGAAAAATAAAATTGGTCAACATTTCACTAAAGTGTCAATTTCTTATTTGAACAGATGTTTTATTTGCACAAAAATTAATAACAAAACTTGAATGTAATAGGTGTGAAACTCACCTCATATAAAAGATTTGGGTGATGTTATTAGATAATCATCTTACTTACACGTCATTGAATTTAAAAAATAAGTTTAAAAAATGAATTTTTATATCATTTTTATAAGATTTATACATCTGATTTTGTGTTTAATTTATGTATTTTTTTTAGCTTTTTCCTATTTGAAATATATGTATATTCAAGAGTAATATAAATTTTCATTTTATTTGTATATGTACTTTAGTCAATGTATGAAATGGCGGAATTATAAAGATGTGTTTTAACCAATGATTTGATTTGCGTAGTGATTTATGAAGAGACAACAATAAATAAATAAATAAATTTCAAGATCCAAAAGGTTAAACGTGTTTGTAAAAATTAATAATATAGTTTTAGTAATTTTTACGTTTTTGAATACAATAATATTATAATAATCACATTTTATTATTATCTTTTACATTTTTTTTAATGACCGAATGTTTAAACCAACTTACGCACATCTCGATTCTCAAAATCCAAATAAAGCGCCCTCTCCACGTAGATCGGACAAATCTTAAGCAATAAGCATAACTTATGGGTGTGGCCCAAGAAACTGATTACTCCTAATGAGAGTTGAACCTAAAACCTAGAGGGAGCACACCCTGAACCCCAAGTTGCATCAACTAGGCCAGCCCCTTAGGGTTAAATTCCTTACATAAATTCCTTTGGTGTTAGTCAAATTTATAAAGATTATTATACAAACTAAAAAAATTTAAAACAAATTATATTGTTAGTCTCTGTATTTTGACTCTTATGCTATTTGGGTTGTTATAGTTTTCATTGGATTAATTTTGAACCTGAATTTTTTATATTGTCTCAAATTGGTTCAATTATTTCCAATTGTTAGTTTTTTTTTTTTTTTTAATAAAAATGCGTACATGAACGACATTTGTCGTACTTTTAATAACAAAATTATAAAATTTGATCAATTTAGTGACTTAAATTCAACCAATTGAATGAATTTTTTTTGTCAAAAATCCTAACGACGTAATCAATTGAATCAAATTGATGCAAAATCTAAAATTAAAAATCAAAATTAAGTTAATTAAAATTATAAAAACTAAAATAATACGTATAACGGACTACTGACCTAATTTTTACTAAATAACACCTATCCTGTGAAGTGCGTCACCTTATTCCAAAACAAAGCTCCACTCGCTAATCAGCTGCACCACCAAAGATACACCTTATTATAATATAAGTTCAGGTCTAAAAATTAGAATTATTTTTTAAATTTAATGACTTGAGATTTTATTAAATTATTTAAATCAATTCTCTCTTTATTTTATTTTATTTATCCTCTAACTTTAAATCAACTATCTTATTAATATATCACTGAGTCTAAAAAATATAATTAAAAAGTAAACTCATATATCATTTAATGGAGGCAGAATACAACACATTACATTACATTGAGAATTTGGCCTATATAAACCCCATTGGTAGCAACAATTAAGGACACACTCAGTTCTCTATTTTCCCAACAAATGGAGCTCTCTTTGTTCTCTATGCTTCCCTTTGCTTTCCTATTCATACTCTTCTCTATTTCCCTCACAATTTTCTTCAACCAAAAGGCCACCAGCAACCTCCCTCCGGGGAAGACAGGGCTGCCTTTCCTCGGCGAAAGCCTCGAATTCCTCACTGATGGCTGGAAAGGCCAATCAGGGAAGTTCATACATGACAGGATGGCCAAATTCTCTCCCCAAGCCTTCAAAACATCATTGTTCGGAGCACCGACGGTGGTGATGTGCGGTGCACAGGGAAACAAGTTCCTCTTCTCCAACGAGAACAAGCTGGTGACGGCGTGGTGGCCGAGCTCCATCAACAAGATCTTCCCTTCCTCCAACCAAACTTCTTCCAACGACGAAATGAAGAAAATGCGAAAACTTCTCCCTCAGTTCCTCAGGGCCGAAGCCCTCCACCGATACATCGGCATCATGGACACCATAGCCCAGAGGCACTTCGACTCCGACTGGAAAAACACTGATAATAACAATCATAACCATGACGTCAGCCTGGTAACGGTTTTTCCATTGTCGAAACTGTACACCTTCTGGCTGGCATGTCGGTTGTTTATAAGCGTGGAAGATCCCGAACACGTCGCCAAATTCTCGAAGCCATTCGAGCTTGTGGCGTCCGGGATGTTCTCCATCCCAATTGACTTGCCAGGGACCGCGTTCAACAAGGGAATCAAAGCCGCTAATTTGATCAGGAAAGAGCTTAGAGAGATCATAAAGCAGCGAAAGATCGATCTGGCGGAGAATAAAGCGTCCCCGACACAAGATATATTGTCGCACATGTTGCTCACTCCGGACGAGGATGGGAAGTACATGCAGGAGATGGACATTGCAGACAAGATTCTAGGGTTGCTTGTTGGAGGACACGACACTGCAAGTGCCACTGTCACTTTCATTATCAAGTATCTTGCTGAGCTTCCTCATGTCTACGACCTAGTCTTGAAGGGTAATAAACCTTAGTCCAAGTTTGACATACACAAAATAATTCATCTTTTTATCTTTTTTTATCACATTATTTCTTTACTTTTCTGCATATCTTTTTGTAAAAAGACAAAAGTATACTTATTTAGGTCATCCCAAACAACTCCTTACTCCCAACCCTACCAAGACAGGATTACCCTTTCTCTCTCTAAATTTTCATGTTATTTTATCTTAAAATATTTACAATATTATTGAATTATATCTCAAGATATCTCCATCTTGAGATTCTAACATAATCTTATGACTGTAAATATTTTGAAATAGGGATAATTAAAGAGAAGAAAAATGATTCATTCACACAATTTCTCTCCTAAATTCCTCAAATGGCATGGTAAGCAAAATTTGAAAGTTGATCCACATTTAAATATTTCTTCAAAACTCTCCTTATGTGCATTTTGTCTTATCACTTTATTAAGGGAATTACAAGGAAAAAAATTGTGTAAATGTAAAACTACTGTAAAAATAATTGGAGAGGAGATCCAGAGTCTTTTGCTAGGGTGCCTAATAAATAAAAATCAATATATATACTCTATATAAAAGTATTTAATTTAGTATTCAGAATAGGATCGATCCACATATGAACGTATATTGTAGTTGGTAATTAATTAACAGTAATGTTATATATAATTTAATTTTCTTTTTATATTAATCACTTGCATTACTCATTTAATAATTATTTTTGTATGACGAGCCCAACCCGAAGTTGGGGTACGACAAACAAACTTTATTGATGGAAGAGGAAAATTTACATCAATAAAGAGGAGCTTGGAGCTAAAACAAGCTCCAACCTCCTAGTTGGTGAGGAACCAACGAACAATCAAAACAGAGAAAAAAACCAGAAAAATCTGCACCAATGCTGAGGAGTGAGTCCCTCCAGCAAATGACAACCATGCTGCAACCACACATCTTTGTGAGATCTGATAGAAGCAAAATTATACCAGCAGTACCCACCATGAACAAGCAGAATTAAAGCCAGCCTTCACCTAATTCTGCTTCCTCCTCCTCTGTACAAACCAGCCCAGCTGAATGCAATCAACACCGTCCACTCCACTCCACTCCACTACCAGCATACACCTAATTGCTCAAGCAATCAGCATTCACCAGATTAACACTTCAGTATTCAAAGCCAAAATTTGCTTCGAATACACTGCTACCAGAGCTTCAACCGAAACAGCCCACTGCAGCAGCTTAGAGCAGATAGCACCAGCAGACAGACAATTCAACAGCTAAAAGACAATACAGCAGGCAGACAAATCAGCAGACATACAAGCATATGTAAATCAGATGCCAAACACTAATTTCCACCCCTGATCTGTCTCCAATAGAAGAGAAGATCATCAACCTATCCCTCTTCGACAAAACTTAATTTGTTGTAGGTTAAACAAGAACTCATTAACAGAAAAAGGCAACTTCGGGTCCGCAGCCCTAACCCACATAGCAGTCCTGGATTTAATTAAATCACATAGACCATGTAGATCTGGTTGTCTATCAGAGAACAACACCTCATTCCTGTGTTTCCAAATAGACCATAAGGAAGCTATAGGCAACACATTCCAGACTTTTCTCTCAAAACTATTACCTGAAAATCCGGCCCAAAACTTTAAAACTCCATCCACTGTTGCCGGCATAACCCACTGAGATCCCCACCAGAGTAATTAATTAACAGTAATGTTATATATAATTTAATTTTTTTTTTATATTAATCACTTGCATTACTCATTTAATAATTATTTTTGTATGACGTGCCCAACCCGAAGTTGGGGTACGACAAAATGATTACGAGAAAAAATATGATATATACATATACAGTATTTTTCATTAATTGATAGCTAGAAGGGAGAGAGAATAAATCTTGGATCGACATGAAAAGTTAACTTTTGTTTGATACGATGACAAAACTTGGAATATATATAGATATTAGAAGAATTATATTCTCTGTTCCAAAAAAAAAAAAGAAAAAGAAGAAACATATTCTGATGTATGTGTGTTGGGTTTGGGGTTGGGGTTAGAAGAAACATATATATATATATATATATATATATGGCTGATAAAAATGAAGTGATGTATTTGTCTTGTGTGAACAGAACAAATGGAGATTGCAAAACCAAAAGCACCAGGAGAACTGTTGAATTGGGAGGATTTACAGAAAATGAAGTATTCATGGAACGTTGCATGTGAAGTCATGAGACTTGTACCTCCCCTTCAAGGTGCTTTCAGGGAGGCCATTACTGATTTTATGTATGCTGGTTACTCTGTTCCTAAGGGATGGAAGGTAAAACTCAAAATCCAAATATTATATATAAAATATATTTTTTACCTAATGTTTTTTTTTTTTTACCAATATACCCCGAGACTTAGATTAGATCCTACCTGTATTTATTCATGTGGGGGATGTTCTCCATCCCAATTGACTTGCCAGGGACCGCGTTCAACAAGGGAATCAAAGCCGCTAATTTGATCAGGAAAGAGCTTAGAGAGATCATAAAGCAGCGAAAGATCGATCTGGCGGAGAATAAAGCGTCCCCGACACAAGATATATTGTCGCACATGTTGCTCACTCCGGACGAGGATGGGAAGTACATGCAGGAGATGGACATTGCAGACAAGATTCTAGGGTTGCTTGTTGGAGGACACGACACTGCAAGTGCCACTGTTACTTTCATTATCAAGTATCTTGCTGAGCTTCCTCATGTCTACGACCTAGTCTTGAAGGGTAATAAACCTTAGTCTAAGTTTGACGTACACAAAATAATTCATCTTTTTATTTTTTTTTATCACATTATTTCTTTACTTTTCTGCATATCTTTTTGTAAAAAGACAAAAAGTATACTTATTTAGGTCATCCCAAACAACTCCTTACTCCCAACCCTACCAAGACAGGATTACCCTTTTCTCTCTCTAAATTTTCATGTTATTTTATCTTAAAATATTTACAATATTATTGAATTATATCTCAAGATATCTCCATCTTGAGATTCTAACATAATCTTATGACTGTAAATATTTTGAAATAGGGATAATTAAAGAGAAGAAAAATGATTCATTCACACAATTTCTCTCCTAAATTCCTCAAATGACATGGTAAGCAAAATTTGAAAGTTGATCCACATTTAAATATTTCTTCAAAACTCTCCTTATGTGCATTTTGTCTTATCACTTTATTAAGGGAATTACAAGGAAAAAAATTGTGTAAATGTAAAACTACTGTAAAAATAATTGGAGAGGAGATCCAGAGTCTACTTTTGCTAGGGTGCCTAATAAATAAAAATCAATATATATACTCTATATAAAAGTATTTAATTTAGTATTCAGAATAGGATCGATCCACATATGAACGTATATTGTGGTTGGTAATTAATTAACAGTAATGTTATATATAATTTAATTTTCTTTTTATATTAATCGCTTGCATTACTCATTTAATAATTATTTTTGTATGACGTGCCCAACCCGAAGTTGGGGTACGACAAAATGATTACGAGAAAAAATATGATATATACATATACAGTATTTTTCATTAATTGATAGCTAGAAGGGAGAGAGACAGTATTTTTCATTAATTGATAGCTAGAAGGGAGAGAGAATAAATCTTGGATCGACATGAAAAGTTAACTTTTGTTTGATACGATGACAAAACTTGGAATATATATAGATATTAGAAGAATTATATTCTCTGTTCCAAAAAAAAAAAGAAAAAGAAGAAACATATTCTGATGTATGTGTGTTGGGTTTGGGGTTGGGGTTAGAAGAAACATATATATATATATATATATATATATGGCTGATAAAAATGAAGTGATGTATTTGTCTTGTGTGAACAGAACAAATGGAGATTGCAAAACCAAAAGCACCAGGAGAACTGTTGAATTGGGAGGATTTACAGAAAATGAAGTATTCATGGAACGTTGCATGTGAAGTCATGAGACTTGTACCTCCCCTTCAAGGTGCTTTCAGGGAGGCCATTACTGATTTTATGTATGCTGGTTACTCTGTTCCTAAGGGATGGAAGGTAAAACTCAAAATCCAAATATTATATATAAAATATATTTTTTACCTAATGTTTTTTTTTTTACCAATATACCCCGAGACTTAGATTAGATCCTACCTGTATTTATTCATGTGGACTCTACTTAATTACTTTGTGGTGGTGGTTAAAAAATTTAATGAAAAATTTATTTATGTATGAAATGTGTATATATTCTATAAAATAAAACATGCATAAAAAAAATATTGATTCAATAGTCATAGTTACACCATTTTCTGACTTTTTTTTTTTTTTTAATCTACGCAAATACCTATAAAATGAATATATCAAATTACGGGAATGGAGCTCATGGTGAGTCCATGGGTGGAACTTGACCAGTCTTGTTCCTCTTAAAATATATTCCCAAGTCAAAAATAAATAAATAATATTTACTGTTTTACATAATTTTTTTACAAAACGATTGTTACATATTTAAAATTAAATTATCATTTTATTTTAAAATAATAAGTTCCAATGCAACCATATCATTTTGTATATAAATTCTACATATTCTTTTTTGTTTGTATATAACATCACCAAAAAAAAAAAAAAAAAAAAAAATGACAATTCCTCATATATCTTATATATATTTTAACATTTGATTTGTATGCAGTTATATTGGAGTGCACACTCAACCCACCAAAATCCTGAATACTTTCCTGAACCAGAAAAATTTGATCCATCAAGATTTGAAGGGACTGGACCAGTACCCTACACTTACGTTCCATTTGGAGGAGGGCCTCGGATGTGTCCCGGCAAGGAGTATGCAAGATTGGAAATTTTAGTTTTCATGCACAACTTAGTCAAAAGATTCAGGTGGGAAAAAGTGCTTCCATGTGAGAAGATTGTTGTCAATCCAATGCCTGTCCCTGAAAAAGGCCTTCCAATTCGCCTCTTTCCTCATAACCCTTCACAAAGTTCTTAATTAAATTGGCACCTATATTTATCATCCTCTCTCCTCAGAAGCACTTGTTAGCGCTAGCTTGGAAAGTGCTTACTTGTAATACCTTTTATATATTTTTGTTTATTTTGATTTTTGTTTAGTTCCTTCAATGGCACTAAATTAATAAGTGGAAGAAAGAAATAACTTTTTATATGTATTAGTAGCGGTAAGCCCCGTTTATGTACTGGATTTTATAATTTAATAAAATATAATAGATAACCTTATACATATGTAATGAAATAATTCATAAACAAAAATTGTGATATGATTTGGATATCATTTTTTTCAGATTGGGCTATCGTGTTCTATATTTTTTAATACCACCAACCTTAGGCCAAGTTTGAGAACCACTTAAAATAGTTAAAAAAATCATAAAATCACTGTAAAAAAATCATTTCCTCCCTCTACTTTTTTTATGCATCTTTTTATAAAAAATTAAAAAGTCATTCTTTTCACAACATTTGATATTCGTTTAGAATAATTCTATGCTAAAAATTTTACTAAAAGCGTTAGAGGCTAAATTTGATTGATTGTCAAAAAAGTAATGATACTTCATCCAATAATATATTTGAACACATGTTTTTATTAAGAAGTTAAGAACATGTATTGCTTAGGGTGTTTCGGAAAGATAGTTAAAAATTGATTTTTTTAATTTTTTTTACTATTTTATGTGAGAGGTGATGTGACCCCATAATGGTTAAAAAGTTATGTTCCCAAATGGATTTGTTAATATATTTCTCTTTTTCTAATGATTTACTACAATCTTCCCATATCTTCCTCCATATATATGATAATTGTGTTGTTGTGATCAATATAAAGGCATTATATTTCTATATGTATATTTTTATATGGAGTTATAGGTTCTGAAAAAAAAAAATTACATAATTTAAGTGTAATTTGGCATTACAAAATGACTGACATATAATATTCTCAATGCAATATGAAAGGAATGTTGAAGATATTTCCAATTTACAATTAAAAAAAGTGCTCCAATAATCTATTATTATGATAGTTTTTTTTTTTAAATTTATTTTAATTGTAAATTGTATCATTTCACTTAAATATATATATATATATATATATTTTAATGTTGCAAAGCCTCTGTCTTCGTAAATTTACTCCAAAAATCAATCGTAACTCACACTCGATTTACTAAGATTTTGTCCAATCATATGTAAATTTGTATTTATTGAATAAAAGAAAAACATATTTTCAAGAGATTTGATCCCTAATTTATGGTCATTTGTGAGTTAAGAGATTTATTTATATTGAATTTTATTTCCTATTTGGTTACTAATTATAAATTTAGAAGTTTACTTAAGGAAATATTTATATGGGATTTGACTCCCTAAATATTTAAGAAAAGATTTATATAAAATCCTTCTAAAAGAGTTTTTGTTTTGTTTTTTTTTTTTTGAAAAAAAAAA